CCTAGTTTGATAGTTTGATCTGAGTTTGGTGCGCTATGCTGGACAGACTCACTGAGAGTGACCTGTCAATCAAAATGTAGCCCCGCCCAAAAGCATACACGGCTTGAGACCCTAAACTCATCAGGAGCTCATAAATGAAGTGAGAAGCTGGCTCATTCTCCATTAAAGTGAATGGGATGTCTGTGTTATTGCAACTAAATGGAGCTCTCCCTGCTGGAATCTACGTAGAAGGCAGGTTTTAAGACATTTCCGTGTTGGCTTCACTTTTCAGTCCCAGAAGCTCTGTCCATTACTGTCAATGAGTATAACTGACATTGTTACATCCAACATCTTGTCAAATCTGTGACCATGCAAATATTTACAGACATTTTTTATCTACTCCGAAAATACCCTTGTTAGAGCATTATCTGTAAATAATTATTACTGTGGTCTTGTGGTTGCTGATTTGTGATTTAGGCCTATAAATTTGGTTTTTATTTGAACAGTTAACTGCAGACCAAACTTACCATTATACTAACTGTCTCGGGCTAATATGTTACAGCATAGGTGTAGAAGTAATTTAACTGCTATCTATTTTACTCTTTTCCTACCCTTACTCTTGTGCACTCTTCTCATATGTGTACTAGATTAATTGCTCTGTTGTACTTCTTATGCATACTTAATGTTGATCTTTCACAAGTAATACTTTGTTTCCTGACATGAAGCACAAAGTAACAAATTTCAAGGATTCAAGTTTATTTTAGTCATCTACATTGCAGTGTTGTATAATGAAATTACATATAGTTACCCTTCTGCTACTTTTAAAAACAAAACAAAACAAAACAAAACAGTGAAAACGAGTCCATGAATCCATTTTCCTTCTTACTGTAAGTCATTTTTACAATACCTTTGTTTTTGTTTATGGAATCTCATCATATTCTGATTTGTAATCACAATCATCGAATTTGTGCTCCAATACTGTCTTCACAGGCTCACAATTGCTTCCAGTAAACACTGCTAAGACAAGCTGCTATTTTTAACCTCTACTGGAAATGTGCTTTGCTCGCTGTATAGGTGATTGAATGGTGTAGGGTGCAGGGATAAGAATGAGGCTTCACAAAGACCAGAATGAGAACGGCGTGACAGGAAGTGACCTTTTCGTCTATGTACTGTGATAACCAATCAGATGCATTTGACAGTAGCACATAAAGTACAGTATTGTTGCCACACACACATGCTGTATCACCTCCTTTACTCACTCAAATGCCAACAAGGTTCCTAAAAAAAGACAATGTCAAGATGATCCTGTTATGGGTTACGTTACTTGTTCTTCATCAAGGATGTAAGTGCTTTATTTCTATTTCTAATTTGTGCAACTTTACAGTTTTTCAGAATTTGCATACCAAATAGGTTTATGAAGGTTGCTATATTATCTTTTAGCATAATACATTTTTTTTACATTGTATACTAAATGTTATTTACTTCATGTATTGTGTTGTTTTAATTAATTCAGATACACTGGTTCCAGTGATCACAGTTCAGCTTGGTGAACCTGTGACCTTCACATGCCCTTTGCCCAATATTCAGATCAACCGTAGAAAACTCTACTGGTACAAGCAGAGTGCCGGGGATGCTATGAAATTAATTGGGACAATGGAGAAATCTTCACCACCTGCGTATGCACCAGAGTTTTCTGATTCAAGATTAAAGATAAGTAATGATAACAAATTTAGCAACCTAACCATTGTGAAGACATTCCAAGAAGATGAGGGAATGTATCACTGTCAAAGCTTGGAGTGGGTTTCAAATCCTGAATGGAGCGGGACATATTTGTTACTAAAAGGTAATCATGTCATCTATTTTTAGAAAGTTTTGCAGAACAGTTGCAGAACAGTATCATACGTCTGTTTTGAAAAATTGCAAAACATCACCCACAGATTGAATGACCACCAGCTGTCATACACTTTTAAAAGTGGAGACCATGCATTGAATATAAAAATATCTAGTTAAAACCATAAGTGTCTTTTGTTTTTTCTTTAGTTCACATTTGAGATATACTCAAATTCGTCTGCTTTCCAAATGTGTTTGGATATCCTATCCTTTTAACAGTTTTGTATTACACAGGAAACACTCATCAAAAGAGGACATCAAGCTATACTGTTGTTCAGTGGCCGACAGTATCTGATCCAGTCCATCCAGGAGACCCAATGACTCTCCAGTGTTCAGTCCTCTCTGACTCTGACAATAAAACATGTCCAGGAGATCACAGCGTGTTCTGGTTCAGAGCTGGATCAGATCAATCTCATCCAAATATCATCTACACTGATGGAAATAGACACGATGAATGTGACAAGAGATCTGACACTCAGAAAAGCTGTGTTTATCGCTTCACTAAGAACATCAGCTCCTCTGATGCTGGAACTTATTACTGTGCTGTGGCCACATGTTGAGAGATATTATTTGGAAATGGAACTAAAGTGGAAATCGGTATGTATCTGTGTTCAATACTGGAAATGATATTCATAACATGTTAATGACATCATTATTGATATGTCTTATTCTATTGATATGTGTTGTCTAGAGCGAACAACAACAAGTTCTGAATTTATCCTGCTGGTGATAACAATAGTCTGCTTGGTCATTTCTGTGACTGGAAATATCGTTTTCTTCTCTCACCGAACTCCAAGACTGATGCGTAAACAATTTAAAGGTAAGTGCTCTTGACTAAATCAAATTTTTTTATTCTCCTGTGGTTTTACTTAAAATGTTCATATGGTAAGTGCAAGTGTAACATCACACAGGATGAACCCCAACCTCATGTTATGGGATAATAATAGATATTAGAAGCAAAAGCACTAGTTTGCATATTGTCAGTAAGTTAAGTAACAGCAAACACTGAAACACAATCTGAATCTCTCATTCACTCATATTGCTGTTTGTTCCATGTACAGTATACAGTGTCAAAGTAAGAATCACTTCCAATTGTATTTTCTTCTTTTTGAACTAGTTGAAGGTGCTTATTGAAAAGTCGGATTAAGTGCATAATATTCCTTGTTTCATTCAATATTAGGAACAGTAAGTGCCTCTTCACAAGCAAGACATGACAGTTCAAGCCAACCAGTACATGATATTGTAAGTAATGATACTGAATTACATTATTTGTTATTGAATTAACAGCACCATGATTATAATGATCATTTTATTTGCTGCACAGGCTGAAGTTGAAGATGATATGAACTACGCTGCGTTGCATTTATCGGGAAGGAAAGCCACAAGCGGGAGGAAGAAGAAAGAGTTGAACATTGACGAAAGTTTATATGCTCAAGTTAAAGGCTGAATGTGAACGTGTCCAGAGAAAAACCTGTGGTTGTTTAATAGGTCAATTTACACCGCAAATGTTGTTAGTTCCTTTCTAACTTTTAATGAGAGTTTTTCATGATAAAAGCTAAAATCATAGCATACAGACATGCTCTTTATCTTCCATGTTTATTTATTTTTTTTGAATGTGCTGTCGTTCTATTATCTTAGAAATATTAACCTGAAAAAAAAAATATTCAGAAAACTTTAATAGGGCTATTAAAGCATGCAACTTTTTCCTAAATTTCTCTGCTCTGCATTTCATTACATTAGTTCAAGATATTCATTGTCTTTATTTGAAATCTGGAGATGTGGTTTGTAAAGACAATAAATGGCTTAAATTCTTTCCGAATGTTAAATGTTCATGTGTGACGGGCCTGGTAACATAAGGGAACATGATGCAGCATCTTCACGCATACTACTAATCTCACATTGTAGCCTTATTGGACCGATGGTCACTCTAACTGTAATTATCATCCATATGCAAATATTGCACTTCATAGTTCAGGCAAAGCTGATATGAGGCTTCAGTGCTCTGACTTAGTCAAATTAAGTGAATAGCGTCTTTTTATAATTAAACTGTATGTCTGAGTTACTATTCTTACTACTGAAACTATTAAATAACCTCACTAAGCATAATCTTGCCATACATACACCATTGTTTATTAATTAATTCATTAGCTATTAACTATTTGGTTGTTTTAACTGCATACTTTTATATGCAGGACGACGTGTTTAGCAGAGAGTGAAGGATCTGAGAATATAGCTCGTGTCCATGTGTTCTTATCCTGTGAGATTAAATTGCTAGAAGATTTCTAACGATCATTAAAATCAATGCGCTCGGGCATTATTGTTCTTGAAACAGAAACTACAAGCAACTCGAAAGAAGCTGGTGAGCCACATGTCTCATTCATGGTCCATACACTTATAAATGGCACAGGCAGAATCAAGGGTGGCCAGGGTGTGCCCCTGAAACAATTTGATCTCATTAGAATGAAAAACAACTGATTTGTTCAAACCTTTATAAACAATTGCATTATTTAATATGATGTAATCCACCACAAAGAAAATACTTCATAAAGCAAACAAAATGTAAAGTGACGGGGAACAAAATCAAGTCTTTATTTCCCTTAAAAAAGCGATAAGCCTAACTTTGGAAGCAATGACAACGACCAGTAATTCCTGATAAGACTAGTTGTGCTGCCTAAGATCTGTTTACTTAGTTGTTTTTTCATGTGGATTGCTAAGTTTGATCATGTGTGTAAGGATGCTGTTTCAAGTTCTAGTGAACATTTAACATCTACTAGCCTTTCAGTTATTCATTTTCAGTCCACAGGTTTCAGGTTCATATAAAGACAATAAATAAACTAATATATTAAAAACAGCGATGGTATTAAAATATATGTAACAAAAAAGTTTTAGACTTTAATAGCCCTATTAAATTGTCATATTATTTTTTAATAGCCCACTAGGGTTGATAAATTTATAACAAGCAAGCAAATGCAAACACATCATACAATGAGAGCAACAATGTATGATAAAACATAGAACATGTAGAGCATGTCTGTATGCTACAGAGTGATGTAGCTTTTTATCATGAAACATGAAACACCTCTCATCAAAGTTAGAAGGGAAACACAACATTTAATTTTTTATTTACACTGTAAGGTCTGTACTATAAACCAGCTCTTTCATAGACACATATTCACATTCTGGATTGAACTTGAGAATACACACTTTCTTCGGTCTTCAACTCTTGCTTCTTCCTTCCTCTTGTAGCTTTCCCTCCAGAGAAATGCAACGCAGCGTAGTTCAGATCATCCCCACCTTCAGTCTGTGCAGCAAATAAAAGGCTCATTATATAGTCACGTTGTTATGTTGCTTTTGGGAATTATGTTAATAAAATAAAAACAAATTATGCAATTTGCTTTCATTACTTACAATATCATGGACTGGTTGGATCAAGTTGTCATGTCTTGCTTGTGAAGTGGCGCTTTCTATTCCTAACATTGGATAAAAACAGGAATTTTAAGTACCTAATCGGTCTTTTCAATGGGGTCACTCCTCAACAGATTTGCCAGGTTTTATTTAAAAAGAAACTTTTCCTCAATTACTGACATTGTGTACTGTAAAGATGAACCTTTAAAAGGTATGTATGTTACGTACATACACATACGCACAAATGATGGTAAGGGAGAGAGGAACTCCTTCTAGACGGCTACAGCTGCAGGCAATTTTTTTGTTAATGCAATGCAGAGCTGTTGACAGGTATTATGAAGTAAAATACAAGAATTGGATCAGGAGTATCAGCAGACATTAATGGAATTTTGTATATATAACCTTTAATGAGACACAAATGCAGCTTTTTGCTAATAGTATGTAAAATAACAGACTTCTATTTCTAATAACTATTATTTTATCCCATAACACAAGGTTGAGGTTCAACCTGTGTGATGTTACAATAGCACTTACCATATGAACATTTCAAGTAAAACCACAGGAGAATTAAAAGTTTTGATTCAGTCAACGGCACTTACTTTTAAATTGTTTACATATTGGTCTTGGAGTTCGGTAACAGATGAAAACAACATTTCCAATCATAGAAATGACCAAGCAGACTATTGTTATCACCAGCAGAATAAATTCAGAACTTGTTGTTCGCTCTAGATAACACAGAAAAAAACATATCAATAATGATGTTATTAACATGTTATGAATATAATTTCCAGTATCGAAAACTGATACATACCAATTTCCTTTCCAGATCGAATATCCTGCCACATGGTGGCCACAGCAACAGTAATAAGTGCCAGCATCAGAGGAGCTGAGTTCTTGAGTAAGCGATAGGTAACACAGAGCGAGTGTCAGATTTCTTTCACATTCATCGTGTCTATTTCATCAGTGTAGATGATATTTGAATGAAATTGCTCTGATCCAGCTCTGAACCAGAAACACGCTGGTGATCTCCTGGACATTTTTACTTGTCAGAGTCAGAGGGAGGACTGAACACTCGAGAGTCATCGATCTCCTGGACGGACTGATCAGATACGTCGGCAACTGAACAACAATATAGTTTGAAGTCCTCTTGAGGGTTACCTGAGTTATAAAAGGAAGTTCCAAATGTAACAATAGGCATAACAGTACAGTGATTTACATGATACGGGTGCAGAAACAATAAGAAACAAGTATTCCACTAAGTAGAATTATATCCTGGAGGAAATGCCACATTGACATAACTGAGCAATATAATTTGCATAGCATTTAAAAATAGAGTTTTACATTTTGTAGATTGTATAATGAATTTGGAAATCATCTCAAAAAATGCTTTAAGCGGTTAAAGTGGAAAAAAACAACAGATTAATTACCTGTTAAAAGACAAATAGGTTCCCACTCCAAGTTGAATCTTCGCAAAATTCCACAATCACAGTGATACATTCCTGCGTGCTTCTTGAATTGTTCCTCAAAAGGTCAGATTGCTGATATTCTTATGAACTTCTTAAATCCAATCTTGAGGGTAGAAACTCTGTCCGTACACAGGGTACATGTGCGAAGCATCACAATGTAACTTCAGATCATCTCCAACATCTGCTTGTACCAGTAGAGTTTTCATTGTTCAGCTCTTTAGTAGTAAAAACCACATGTGAAGGTCGCAGGTTCACCCAAGTTGTGCTGTGGTCACTGGAATCAGGGGGTATCTAGATTAAATTAAAATGTAACAAGACATTAAACAAAAAAAAGGAAAAATTGTGTAGAAAACAACACAAGACGATATACAGTATTCACATGAACCACCATTTATCAAGATTGTGGAAAAAACTAAATGAGGAAAATATTAGTATGATGTATATATCACTTACGTCCAGATGAAAGGAGAAGCAGTGTAACACAGATCACGATCATCTTAACATGGTTTCTTGTCAGGAGATCTTGGTTAGTGTTATGTGAAGTCAGTGACGTTGGTCCTGAAATGTCAGAACATCAGTGCATCGATTGGTTATCAGAGAAAGTGCTCAAAGTGCATTTCCTGTCACACTGTTTAGTCCTCCTCTATGTGAAGTGTATTACCTCCCCACTTCTTATCCATTCACTGAACTGTTGATCATAAAGATTCAATTTGTAAAAACCAAACATTTTTAAACATCAGGTAAACTGTAAACTATAATTATTCTGTGATGGTAGTGGTTCCCCAAACCTTGGGGGGTCGGGACACCCAGTAGGGTCACCAAAGTTCCTGGGGGTTGCGGCCGTTCTTGATTTTAAGGGTTGGTGGAGAAAACCTTTTACAAAAAACTAAAACAAACAGTAGTCCAACATCTCTGCATTTTATTCAGCTAGTGCAAGAAAAACTAAATTAAATTTATTTTTAAGTTTAGAAATTTATTGATTGAAGATGAAAACTTTGGAGATTTGAACACAAACTATATTCACAGAGCCTTCACTCTGCTAAACAGCCTCGTCCTACATTCGAAAAGTTAAAAAACACAAAGAGCTAATAGAACAATGAGAAGAAAACACTCAGTTTGTCAAAAAAAGAAGCCTATTAAGTATTTGTAGATATCATTTGTAAAAAGACATTACTAAAAATTTCAGGACTCATCTCTGATCATATTCACAGGAAATCTGCTCAAAATTCATCCAAATCTCTCATTTTAAACAAACGTCTTGCTGTTTTTGTGATTATTTGGGTTCATTGTACAGTTTATCAGTTGTTCTCTGAGTATTGAATATGATATAGATATCCATAAAATATGTCACTTAGTCAGGGGTTGTCTGTTCATTCAACGATAGAAAAATAAGTTGCAGTGTGCATTCTGACTTCAGGGAGGTAACTTACTTCACAACTGATAGAAAAAGGTTGAGTATTTTCAAATTGGCATTTCCCTGCCTGAAAAAGATAATTTAGTTTAATTGTGGGATGTTCTTGTCGTATCATTTTAATATAATCTAGTGTAGTCTCCTACTCCAGCTGTAACATCCACACACAATGTATTGGTAATTTTTGTTTTAAGCTGTTTTTTTCCACCTTAATAGATGAAACATAATTGAATCATGTCTGGCTGGATTTGATTTTAAAGGGCTAATCCAAATTGTTAAAATGGACTATGGCAACCACTGTTCATTCAGATGCTGCAGCCAATATATTAGCTCCTTGAAACCTCTCTGTTCTGTTTTTGGCTTCAGTGCTGACAGAAAATAGCCTATAGTCATCAGAAAAGGAAGCATGAGATTTGGATTTAAGAGCAGTGGACCTTGAGATGATCCACCTGGCCAGATTGGCCAGACCAGCCTACCACAGCAGATGCTGTGGTTGACCCCAGAAGAGAGGAGGATAGCATTGATAGGAGCCATGCTGAACCAGCTTGAATTTAAGGCAACTCTTGGTCTGGTTTGGATGAAATGGGACTCAGGCAGGCCAAACAACAGGGAATCAGAGACCTTTCCTCCTAAATATATTAGACTGAGACAATACAAAAGTATGAATGTAGACTGTTTTGTCCATGACTTAACTTAACTTAACTTAACTAATTTTATGACTTTCTTGTCACCACAAATAGGCTTTATGACTTACCAAGGGGCCTCAGGCAATCCTTTGTTTGAGCACATGGCCGGGCCCAACAATACTATTAGCAAAAAGTTGCATTTGTGTCTCATTAAAGGTTATATATACAAAATTTACTGCTACAAGATGTTGTACTGGAGCACCATCATATCAGACCAAAACAATGGGCACTCCAGCTGACCAGACTCTTGATAAAATCATTAATGTCTGCTGATCCAATTCTTGTATTTTACTTCATAATACAGCTCTAGAAGGAGTTTCTCTCTCCCTTTACTTCATTTGTGCAGATTACATTAATAAATTACTCCTATTTGGCTTTTTTTCCCCTTGCAGTGGCATGGTGAATTTTGGTATTGACTTGGTACTAAAGTATTCTTGTGGCATCCCTACGCATCACACACTTCAAGCTGGACAGAAACCAAATAAAACTCAGCATAACGGTCTCTGTTAGTAACCCACAGTCTTTCCAACAAACACCATTTGTGGTTTGGTTGAAATAAACCCTTAATTTACCAAGTTAGATAGTAGTGAAACAGGCTGCTATGGCTGCTATGTAATGTAAACAGATTATTTTGGACAATTGTGCCTAGTGCTTGTTTTTGCCACTGATGGGCTCAGATTGTAAGTGTCTGAAAACATAATGGAAAGGATCCCTATAAAAATAGAACTTTTGCCTAACCAGAAACAACCATATTGTAATCGCCGCCATCATACTCCACAGAGAAAATGGTCTTTATATCTTGCATATCATCGTAATATTGTAACTTAAAGTGGACAAAAGCAAAATAAAACTCACCAGATTACCTTCGCTAGTCTTTTCACTGTTCCAACAATCACCAACACTGGTTAATAAATCCTTAATTCACTGTAGATGAGAAAAACAGCAGCTCTCCTCAGTTGTCTATACATACATGGTGGCACCAACATGCACAAGTGGCCAGACCGGCATTGTAAACAAAGCACAGACTGGCAGGGATAGCAACACAGGCAAAGTGAGTAAATATCTGAATCCCACTATGTCTCAGTAATATAATAATAATATAATAATAATATATAATATAATAATATAATCATACATATAAATATAATAGATACATTTTATTTATAAGGCTTTTTGTTACTACTCAAGTGTTTCTAAAAAATAAAGAGCAAAAACAAGATCAAATTAGCTAAGGACACTAAACACTAGACTAAGGGTAACTTAAAAGTAATTTTGAAAGGTGAGTTTTGTCAGAATTTGAATGTTGGAAGGTCCGGTACAGTCACAATGTGTTTGGGGAGAGAGTCTCAGAGGGAGGAGTGAGCTAACAGGAGAAGGTCTGTCGCCAAGGTTCGGTGGTTGGTCCGTGGGTGGTGGGTCAGGAGGTTTGCATGATGAGGCGGGGCTAACGGGAATGGATTGTGGTGCTGGGCAGGTCAGTGAGGTAAGGAAAAGGGGCTGTTAATGTGCTTTGTGTGTGAGGGAGGTTTCGAGTGTTGGGAGGCCGTGGAGGTTCTGGGGGCGGGGTCTTGGTCCGGTGGCGTGTGGGTGAGGAGACCGAGGGCAGAAGAGTTCTGGATGTATGGAGTTTATTTAAGTTTTTGGATAGTGTGCGTAAAGAGAATGCTGGTGCGTATCGATTATGGAAGGTGATGAAGGCGTGGTGAGGGCTTCTGCGCAAGAAGGGAGAAAAAGTGATGGGTGGGTCCGGGCTATGTTTTTAAGGTGAAAAAGGTCCGTTCTGGGGTGGATTATGGTTTTATGTGGTGTTCAAGGAGAGGTTATTGTCAATATGACTCGCAAGGTTGCGACTGCTGAGGGGGATGGAGACGGGTGGAGGTGTCGAAAGGTGGGCGGAAACTGTGAATGGTTTTAGTGATGGATTTGGGGCCGATAAATGATCTCGCTCTGTTTTGTCGCAGTTAAGTTTGAGGCAGTTTGGTTGTCGCATCCAGGCTTTACTGTCGTGAGGCAGCTTGGCGAGAGTGGAGTGAGTGGCAGTTGTTTCTGCTGTAGTTATTGTTTTAACTCTGTATGTGTATGTAGCGATAGCATTCACGCCCTCTTCTCAGGTTCTGCTTTACAGTACCAATGTCGTATCTGAGGAAAAGTTTCTTTTAATAAAGCTTGGAACAATCTGGTTGATCAGAGAGGAAACCTACTTGAAAGGCCCAGATTAGGGTACATAAT